TAACAAAATACATACTAAAGACGCTTTATTGTTATACTACAACACAGTGCCCAATGTGAGACTAGTCGAAAAAAGTATCAAGTGAGTCATGTTTACAAAAAATTACTTGACTATGATTTGTAGTTAAATATACAAGGAACATAGAAAAACCATAGAAATAAATGAAATAGAACATAGATAAATCAAGAAATAAATGAAATAGTTAGTCGTGCTTTTTTTACAATCGACCACACAAAATTAATTATTGTTTGTTTATTCTGAAACGCAGTATAAATTTTGGCGATAACAACTGTTTGACGAAAATCCCTAATGAACTTGTCCAAATTGTATATTAGTCAACGAAAAAAAGCAAATTACAAAATCATAGTTATTTGCATTGCAGCAGTGTGTTCCATCCAACAACGTACCCCATCTTGTTCTAATAATAGTTTTTCAAATTTAAAAGTTCAAAACATTTATTTTATTATATAAAGTGTATATTACATAACATACAAGTGGATTGGTATATGTGTTTTTTACCCTTAGAGATTGTCCAATAAAGAAAAAAGTATGTTTTTTTTATAATAATTAATTTTTGGTAATCAAGACTTTGATATCTTATTTACAAAATTGATATGTGCACAAAAAGAAAAAATGCAATAAATTGAATATAAATTTAAAATAAAGTTAAAATAAAAATAAAATAAAAACAGTAAACCAAAAATAATAACAAAAATCAACTATGACGTGATGATCTACTACGTACTACTTATACTCATGTGACAAAAAGAAGAAATTTTCCTTAAAATAAAAAACTCACAAAGCTATAATTCTTATCAATAGTTTATTCCAATTGTTGCAATGGGTTGATCAGGTTTTAGTTTGGCTTATCATTTTTGCCATATCACTATATTTCTAAGCGCTTTAAATTAATATCATCGCAATCACCACCATTTCCAAAGTTCACGCAGACCTGTCTATTTACATCATTGATTTCTATAATATTTACATCGCCGTCATTGTCATCGGCACGTGTCCGGCGGCCACGCGGTGCGTTATCCCCAGGGGTCGTCGTCTAGGGGTTGCCGCTTACCAGGAGAACAGGCGCGTTTCGCCCGAATGCGCATGAGTCGTGAACTTTCGAGTGACTCTTTGGGAGAGGGTAGTAAACGTTGAACGATTCATGAAATGGACGTATGTATAGTGGTTTTGAGTGTGTAAAGAATTTGTTTGTGTGTGCGGTTTGTTGGGTACTGAAACGTGTTGATTCAAATAATAAAAGCTTGTTTTCAGATATCTATGTTGTGGATCTATTTTTGTATGAATTGGCAGTAATAAACTGTTAAATTGCTATGTATTTGCTGTACGGAGCGGCGTTTTATACACTTGTGTTAAAAATGTTATTTTATGGTTGCGCGTTTTGTAGGTTAGATTTTATGTGTAAAACGTCTGGTTGCATAGCAAATATATAGCTTTTTGACAGTTGTTACTGCCAATTCATACGAAGATAGACCCATTAGGGTGGGTCGATTTAAAGGTCACTTAGGCACATATGATTTTCAGATACTATGGATAAAATAAGATACTTTGCTGAAGAAACCATACCTCTTAAATGAATTCTGATGTCTTGTGCGTTGACCCAAAAATAAGGGTTAAATGTTGAAAAACCGCTCTGGGGAGGTCTCAGGGGTGAATTTGCTTTCCAAAAGTTAGTGGGGATCGGTCATACATTTGGACGCGATTTCGGCACTCTAAATAGGTCAAAATGGAATTTTTCAAATTCCAACCCTTATTTTTGCGTCATTGCACGGGACATCAAAATTCATTTTAGAGGTATAGTTTTTTCAGCAAAGTATATTATTTTGATCCCTAGTATCCGAAAATGCTCTTTATGTCTATTACTCAAATTCATCTTCTCTTTAAGACTTATCTTCAAAAATAAATCAAAATTCTATACCATAAATATACCATTTAAATTAACTTTAATCTCCTACTGATCTTTAATGTAACAAAACCATAACACGCATTCCTTGCATGATTTATCATATATCATAGATCATATAATTGACATATATCTTTTCTTAAAATATACTTACGATGATATATTATAGCAAGGGATTACACATTGTCATATAAATTTGAATTAATAGAGAATTTGTGTCGTATTTACTGATATAAAACTCGTGCTATTATTATTAATTGTTACGTATATGAGGATATTATCTTTACGTGGAAATCGTATTTAAAAAATATTTTTAGTGATTCTTAAAAAAGTTTTACTTCATCATTTTATTTAAACTTATCAATAGTTTTGTTAATACCGCATTAGACTATAAAGTTTACAAAGAAATTTATTAGTAGAAATTATTTTATTCCAAAAGAAATATTTTTGAGTGAAAATTGTTCTCTGAGTTTTTTATTAAGTATACTGTATAGTATATTATATATTATTGCTATAATAAGTATAGTATATTAATAAACAAATTACAACTCAGAGAACAATTTTCACTCAAAAATATTTCTTTTGGGATAAAATAATTTCTACTAATAAATTTCTTATACATGGTCTGTTCAAAAAGTACCCGGAATTACTAATAATTAAATTTCGCGGGTCTGGAGTGTCTGATTGTCAAAATTTTTTTTTTATTGTGTTGGTATACATGCCCCTAAAGTATGATGAAATTGTCAGCTATATTCACTGTTTACTTTGTCTGTGGTAGTCGCTAAGGTTCGACGTGTTTTTCTGAGCTCGGCGATTTTTACAATGGAAGAATTGAAAAAGTCAAAGAATTTGTATTAAATTTTGCGTAAAAAATGAAATAAAGTGTTGCAAAGTGCAAAAATTCACCAGATATGGCTCCGTGTGACTTTTTCCTATTCCCAAAGTTGAAGAGACCCATGAAAGGACGGCGGTTTTCCTCGATTGAAGAAAATCGCTGAGAGTGCTCAAGGACATATCAAAAAGTGAATATCAAGGGTGCTTCGAAAATTGGAAAAAACGCTGGCATAAGTGTATTATATCTGGGGGGGACTACTTTGAAGGGGACCACATTAATGTAGACGAATAAATAAATATTTTTTTGAAAAAACGAAAATTACGAAAACTTTTTGAACAGACCTCGTATTTCTTCTATAATAGCAAAAATTGAATTACAACTATAGATCCAACACTACTTGGATTGCAAGTCCTCATATGTTTTCCATTTTATAAAGTGTCAAAAGAGAGAAGGGGACTGTGACGTCACTTAGTGAACGAGCGTTGCCGACAATCGTCAAATACTCCTGATTAATTAAATGCGATATGTCATATGTCACGTGCTTAACCTAAAATTAAATCTTGTGTTTGAAATTGTTAAATTGTTGTTAAGAAATGAGTCTATGTATTGTTTAAATGTCATTATATTATGATGTATAATATTAAGGTGACCATACGTCCCAATTTTGCCAGGACAGTCCCGGATTTCCACCTTGTGTCCCGTGTTTTTCTAAAAGCAATATTTGTCTTGGATTTAGATTTTTTTCTCCGGATTGTCCCGGTTTTTCAAAATTTAATGGGTATATAACAAAAATTATGAAAACAAACGAACATGTGCTAATTTTTTTCAATTTAATTATGAAGAAAATTAATAGAATTTTATACAAGGCAAAAAAACATAAAGATTGATAAATATATGATATAATTTAATATAGAAAAAAGGTATTACATATAATTGAATAATTACTACATAATTAATTACTAAAAATTCGCAATTCTGATTAAAAAAATGATTCCAATAATAAAACTGTTTTTTTATTGCATCCTTAAATAGCATTTAATTAAAAGACAACCCTTACTACCTCCCTTTCCGGATTTAACTAAAAATTGTTGTCCAGGATTTGACTTAAAAAATTATGATCACCTTAATACTGTGTAATATCCACTATTTTTTATGCAAATCGAGCATAAAATATTTACTTTTTGGTTAAGCATGTGACATATGGCACTTAATCAATCGGGAGTATTCGACGATTGTCGGCAACGCTCGTTCACCTGTGACGTCTTTGCTTCTATCTTTTATAAAATAGAAAACAAATGAGGATTAGCAGTTCAAGTAGTATGAGGTCTATGATTACAACTCAAAGTTGCCAAAAATTTTGATACAAAAAACCTAGATCCTAGACAAATATTGCTTCTAACAAAATCTGGAACTATATCGGACAAACCGGAACGCAAATAATTTTATTTAAGATCATAGACTTTATTTTAGCAATTTTTTATTTTATTTCAATTAGATTTGTGTAATACGCATTTAACAAAGATATACAATGAAGGAGTCGTGAATTTGAAGTTTGTGTTTATTCCAACAATAAAGCCGCATATTTTAGCATAATTTTCATCTATTTCATTCAAAAAAGTATACACCTTGTAACGCAGTATTTTTATTACAGATTTATGCAAAGTTCTACAGGTAGCATGAAACAAATTACCATTTGCTCTACATTTTCACAATACACAATATTTCAACAGACAATAAAGTTATGTCATCCTGAATTTAAATAGAGTATCCTTAAGTTTTATTGCAGTTTTATGCAAATAGGAATGAAAATGACGCAATTTCCATATGTACTATGGTACTATAATATATGTTTAACAACAAAATAACCACATTGCAAATGTCATGAATATATTGAAGTGCTTATAATGGCAGCATTTAAATCAACTACCACAGGATGTAGTAAAATTCTATAATAAATTGCCTAGAACGAGAACTTTCTCTTGTAATAAGTAATAAATATTAAAGGAATAGAAAATATTCAAACATACAATTATGAGAAAAATTAAATACAAATTTATCCATGCAGTTTGTAAATTATAAGCTTTTGAGTGCACCCTAGAGCTTTGGCCAAAGTGTCACCATTTTTTGGTTACTGTGGTTGATTTCTATTAATTTTGTTTATTATTCTTTAGCATAAATTTTTAATATGGTTCACTTATTTGAAACAAATTTTATTGGTTTCTAAACTATTTTTTTTATTTTTAGGTTTGCCCAAGAATTTGTGGATATCAGAGAACGTGAACGAAGAGCAAGAGTTAAAAAAGGTTCCAAAGCTCAAGGCAGAGCTTTAATGAATTTGTATAATAACGAGGCTGGCAGAAGGGTATGTAGAATTTTAAATAATTAAATTTAGGTAATTTTGGAAAAATATAACCAAGAGATATTCGTTTTATTTGCCTTTACCGCCTTTTCATGAATATCTTACTTCTAACACTTCACTCTATTGTTCTTTATTTATTTCAAATTAGTAAATTAAATAAATAAAATAATAGTAAAATAAAAAAAAATACAATGATATCAACTACGAATTACACGTACTAGTAGTTTTATATTATTACTATGTTAATATATTACTATAAATATTATAATTATTTGACAATTCAAATTAGATATTGTATATTTGTAGCAACGTTGCACATCACTATTACAATTTATCTAATAATACAATTTATCACTCAGTTCGGTTTTGAATCTAATGTCGGATTTATTTATAACTTCATAATAACTTTTGTGTCTTCATAACAATAAGTAATAATTTTTCTGCAACGTAATGAACCTTAACTGGTTTTTGATGAATACAATGAATCAATACGTGATAGGAAACGCCTGCAATTTTAATTGAATATCGCATTTCCATTTTGCCAATCGAATCTTACACGATTTTTTTATGAAAGTTATTTTTGGTAACATGGTAACAGAATTGTTTAAGGTCTTATGGACTTCTTCATATTGTGTAATCGGAAATTATTAAAATCTAAGTATTACAGATGAACCTGTTATGTTATATGCTCCTTATAACATAACTGGCTCCTTAAATATCTTAAATTATATATGTACGAATATAAGTACAAATTATAAATTACTAATGTTTTTAAGAAAATTGAAAATTATACTGTAGTAATAAATTGTGGAAAACAGGAAATACAACTCTCTCGTAATATATATTTGTGACGATGGAGTATTTTATGATTTTTTTGTATTCAAATTGTTGTGATTGATCTAATAATTACTTACTTAGAAGTTAAAAAACAGTTACAGAAAAATTATGAATTAAATTATGCGACTTGAAGTAAAATTTTAGTTCGTAATATTTAGTTAAAAGTTGAATGTTTTATTTCAAAATGAAAAAATAAATCGATAAATTCTTTATCATTTATCACCTGCTAACATTCCACTAAGTAGTCGACACTATAAATTATAAAACAAGCGACTATATATTATAAACACATGATATAAAAGAATAATATACAGGTGGATTTCAAAACAGGTGCCCTGTTTTATTGCAACCTTATAATAATTTTTATTGTAGGTGATGAATAGTTTGTTATATAACAGAATATTTATGAGACCAATACCTTAAGGCAAACGAATTTATAATATAATAATTATATAATAAAAGAGCTTGATTTGAGCGTCTTTATTATTTGAAATTGCTTTTAAATAATCAGCGAAAATATATCCTTATATCTTCAAAATTTTAATAATAACTTGAATTTATTTGAGACTATAATTTAAATATTAGGACATGGTTGCTTAAGTCGTACCCTCTAATGATGTACTTGGCTTAAAATAAAATATTACGTTTTTTTAATGTCTCTTAGGTACGATTAAGGCGTTTAGTCGCCTAAGTCGTACCACCTAATGCAATATTTATGAGACATGTTCCTAAAGCTAAATAAATAAATATAATTCTATTTTTTAAATTTAATTAAAATAATCAAAAAATATATAATTATACATGTATGAAATATTAATAATAATTGTAATAATATTTGAGACTATAATTTAATTATTAAGGTAAAGTTGCTTAAGTCGTACCTCCTAAGAAAATAATGCAAATGTATTTAGCATAACTAAATTAAAAAAAAAAAATTATTTATTTACAATTAATGAAATTTAAATTTTATGAAAAAGAAGCATTTTTACGTTTTACTCAAATATTTATTTTCGGTATTATTAAGGTATCTAGTCGCCTAAGTCGTAGTATTTTTTGTCTCGTACAAAGAGTAAAAAGGGACTGTTTTAATTTTAAATTTAAAGCAATATCACTAAATAACTAAATTACTTAACTAATGAAGAATATAAATTTCTTGGCTACATTTTTTACAGAGATTTCATAAATAACACTTGATCTAGTATTTTGTCAGAAATATTCATCAGCAGAGTCGGCATAACTATTTATTTAATTCCTTTCTTTAAAAATTTTAACTTTTTAACTTAATTAATTTTCCGTAGAGTGTTATAGTAATGGGGGGAAAATCAAAAATGAAGATTTTTGCATATCTTCACGTTTCAGAAAAAAATTATGTGTGTGTATGCGTACTATACACCGCTAGTTTACTTTTTTATTTACTATTATTTATTGTTTACACCTTTGCCAGGTAAATTTTTAGATGGTCCTTTTTACCCCACCCACAAATAAGTTTATGAAGGTGATATGAAAAAAACGGTTAAATCTAATTCTAAATTAACAATACATCTTATAAAACAATAAAATAACGGTTACTTAAAAATTACATTAGGATCCCTTAAACTAAACAACAGTGCTCACGACCAGAAAAACTAACAACGAAAGAAAATACTTTTGTGAAGGGTTTTTTGTTAATTGCCTTTTTATCTTCTGATAGCAATGTCGTAAGAATGTTTCTTCTACTTACAAATATTGTTGTTGAAAAATTCTTAACTTTACTTGTATTTGAGATATCGATGGTAGACCTTTTCATCCGCGGACTTTTAAAACCCATTGTACCCTATATATTATTTGTTATAATATTTTCCGCCTCTGTTTCTGAGTATCTACAATCTAAGATTTCTGTTCGTGACATTATATTATAAATCTATTATATTTATCTGCACTGCCGTCGACTTTTCTCAATAAATCCTCCAACAGAAGCTTTCCGTTCGACCGGTCTAATTGCAAAACAATATAAACATCAAATCGAAACACAAAGTAATTGTGTTTCTGATATTATTTATTACGAGAAAGGAATTGTCGATAAACGGAATATAAATCTCAGTATTTGAAATACTTTCAAAGTAAATAATTATTAACATTGTCGTATATTTTCGATCGCTCAATTCTGCAACCGATAAATTTTTATTCGAAAATACATCGAAGGCAGACTGGACGTTTTATCGTTTAATTCCTCAGTCGGCATTCTCGGTTCGTGTTTGAGTTTATTTTATTTCTTTTTAAATATCTTTTTCAGCTGCAAGATTTTAAAGCCGCCAATCTTAACAGAAGAGAAACGAGGCGCCTCGGCGGTGATTGGGACAGTATCGCCTTTTAGGGATTTATTATGAGGATATTTAATTAAGTGATGCGATATGGATTATAGATGATACAGAGGATTTATTTAATATTAATTGATTATTCACTTTGGTTAATTATTTATTTTAGCAGCTTTAGATCTGAAGGTTACTATGTGTATGCATGATGTATAAGAGTTGGAACGAAAGCAAATTCCTGAACTATCATATCAAAAAGTTTAATTTTAAAATGAATTAACTCTATAAATTTTCGACTTTATAAAAATGTACTACAAAATATTTGTTAACAAAATATATATATTATGACATGTCATTCTCATTGGTTGGGATCGGACGTCCAGTCTACTTTGTGATTGGTGATCGGAAACACGTTGTACTTAATTGTGTGTAGACTAAATGTAGAGGAGTTGCACATTTTTTTGGTGCGAATGGAACTACTGATGATTACTAACTCGCTGTGACCCTCGAATATTTAATTCTGATACGGGATATTTCAGCACTTTGCCTTAAGGCACGATGCCATGCACCACTGGTTAAATTTAACGTTCCGTGCAAAGCCTGATTTTATTATAATAACAAAAACGTAAGATTTTCCAACATTCAACTAAATGATAGTAATTATATTAATTTTGTATCTCAGTAATATCACATTTCAAAATCAGTAAATCATATTTCTATATACAATCATTTACAAGTCTCCCATATTTCGCAACGGCGGCAGTGTAGCTGGCAATAATAATATAAATATTTTGCAAAGATTTTATGACCGTCATTGATGAAATGTTTTGCTGTAAAAATAACCGCAACTAATGCACTGAAAACGTTTTGCAAGGCGATAGAGAAAAATAATATATTGCATTAGATCCGAAATATAACTAGTTGGTATTGGTATTTTGCATTGAGGCAAGTTGCAAGAATTTCCCGATATGTGTAAATAATCGACTTAATCAATAAAAAATTATTAATTTATTAGAGATTAAAAGTATTCCGAGTGGATTTATTAAACATAATTAAAAACGAACGATCACGTTAACTCGGAGTATTTTCTAAACGCAAATTATCACAAATCAAGAAATTTTATTATTGAACCAGCTTCCGTAGGACTTTAATGATTTTGTATATGTTCATTAAGACCAAGTACTCTATCGTTATACCAAGTAAATCATCTAATTTTAATTTTAACAAACGTCAAACAAACTACTCATTTTCTCAAGCTTTGGTGAATTTTTAAAATTAAACTCCTTGTCGTAAGGCCGTAATGTTTAAGTAAGGTCTATAAGACCATGATATATAGCACCAAAAAAGGTTCCATAAAAATCAGCTTTTTTTTCAACAGTTAATTATAAGAAAACGGCTCCGTAGATTTTCATCTAAAACTAATCAGTATCAGTAATTCCCAACTAATATCTTTCGAACAGTTTTTGATTTTTTTAAATCGATTCGGTAGTAAGCTTAAATGTGGACAAAAAGTTTAACACTTTTTTCAATTTAAAAAGAAACGGCTCTGCCGATCGTCGCACAAAACTGAGAAATGATAATCCTCAATGAGATGCATTAAAGAAGTTTTAAATTTTTGAAATCGGTTTAGTTGTTTTTGAGCAAACGTCAATGAAAAAAACTATACTAATTTTTGCAAACTTTGAAGAATTTTTAAAGTTAAACAAGTTCCGTACGGCCGTAATATTTTAGTATGATCTAGAAGACTATGGTATCCACTGTCAAATGAAAATAATAAAAATCGTCGAAAAAACAATTTTTAACACTTCATTATAAGAAAACGGCCCGGCCGATCTCTACCAAATACTGATCAGCATGATTCCCGACCAATATCCT